GAGTCTGATGGTTTCGTCGAAGGTTCAAAAGTATCAATGTTTTATGAAATTTCGAAAGTTTGACAAATTTGGTGATTAATGTTGAAGCTTCTTGGAACATTTAAATGTTATCATAGTTAGCAAGTTAAAAAAATATATAGGAAAATTATAGTGTGCAACGTTTTGAGTTTTTGAGTTTTTTAGGTTTGAAAATTTTATGATACACGCGTTGGATATGGGTAATGGAATTTAACGAAGCGAAAAGTTCAGCTAACGTAGAATTTAGCAAATTTATACAAAAATATATTTTTATTTTTACAAATTTATAAATTTGACGAAGGCAATGTATATGGGAGAGAAGTTTCGTTGTAGAGAACGTCTCTTTGGTAAGGTTTCATACACGGTAATCAAGGATAATACTTTCCGACGCAGAAATGAAGAAAAAGCACGTATTGAGAACTATGCCTCTTCAACGCAAGCAGAGCTAACTGCCATTGTTATGGCGTTAAGGTTTCTTGAACGGAACACTAATGGTGCAGTGATTTGCACCGATTCAAAAGCAGCACTGCAAAGCCTAAGTAAAAATCAGGCAGAAAATCTTGCAATAGTCGCTGAAATTAAGAGAGCTGTGAGAGTGCTTACCAATCAGGGAAGAGTCATCAAGTTTCTGTGGATCCCCTCCCATGTTGGAATATGTGGGAATGAACGAGCAGATGTGCTGGCTGCTGAAGGCGCTGAAGGAGACCATATTGAATACTTCATACCCAAGACTCAACTACAAATTAGAGGTATTGTCAGGCAACATCACCGTGACAAGGTAACTGAGGAAAGGAGGATAGAAGCACAAACCAGTGAATCTGTACGATGGTACAACATGGTTGCAGCTGGCAATCCCAGTCATTATGGCCGAAGAGGAGGAGGACGAGGGAGAGAATCAGTAATAGCGAGAATCCGTTTTGGATACAAATATCCATGGAGATTTGGAATGGAAACAACAGTTGATTAGCGAAGTTGCAGAATCTGTGGTGAGAGTGATGGACACCGCCTTGACCACTATCTACGTGAATGTGAACACCTGAGAGACATCAGAATTATGTTTAGAATAATAAACCCCACATTGTTTGAGTTAGGAAAACACTATTTGTCAAATATTGATACTGTTCTTAAATGATTTCCCCATTTTGCACCCGCAAGATAACGTAAGCTTTTAAGGGTTGATAGATGTTAATCTTCTTGTTTGAGGAGCTGTTCACTTGAGACAGTTAAGCAAGTCCCAGCTGTGTCTGGGTACAAGTGACAGGATGAACAACCCAGCGGGTTTTCTTCCTATTGGGGAGTGTTGTACATGCTGCTATGGCGGCGTGTCCACTCACAGGATGAGTGACGCTGCCCAATACTGTCACTATGGCGGCGTGTCCACTCACAGGATGAGTGGCGCTGCCCAATAAACTCGCCCCTCGAGGCAAAATTAAAAAAAAAAATCCGTACAGAGAAAATAACGAATTTGGCAAAGCTGAATTGTAGAGAATACAGTATATATATAATTTAGCGAATTTTCAGAGCAGCAATGATAGGCCTATAATTCAGCACAGACTCCACAGTGTAGGGAATATGTAATTGGGTGAAGTTGCCTTATAAGAAAAGCTGAGACTAACTTATCTTTTTTTTAGGAATTGTGAATCTTAATCTTCCTGCCCGAAACGCTTTGGGTAATAGTGGCTTTAGCCATTGTATGTACTAGCTCTATCAAATAAATCCATCAATGTTTGTATCTCACCTTGTATGTATGTACTTTACCTGAATAAACATTTGATTTTGATTTGATTTGTTAAAGAAATATCAGTGTTAGGACTGGATAATTAGTTGTTTCGTTAGTGTAGTATTCGGCGTAAGACCTAATAACGAGGAAGGTCTAGCAACCACTGGAGGGTTATTAAGGTCTAACAACCACTGGAAGGTTAATAATTATTATCAACCGTAGGAGGGTTTACTTGCTCAGCACCTTTGCTGAGCACACGAAGGAGCTCACCTCCTGAGCACACAGGGATTAGGTGGCTGGGGTGATCTAAGTTAGGTGGCTGGGATGATCTAAGTTAGGTGGCTGGGATGATCTAAGTTAGGTGGCTGGGATGATCTAAGTTAGGTGGCTGGGATGATCTAAGTTAGGTGGCTGGGATGATCTAAGTTAGGTGGCTGGGATGATCTAAGTTAGGTGGCTGGGATAATCTAAGTTAGGTGGCTGGGATGATCTAAGTTAGACGGCTGGGATGATCTAAGTTAGGTGGCTGGGATGATCTAAGTTAGGTGGCTGGGATGATCTAAGTTAGGTGGCTGGGATGATCTAAGTTAGACGGCTGGGATGATCTAAGTTAGGTGGCTGGGATAATCTAAGTTAGGTGGCTGGGATGATCTACGTTAGACGGCTGGGATGATCTAAGTTAGGTGGCTGGGATAATCTAAGTTAGGTGGCTGGGATAATCTAAGTTAGGTGGCTGGGATGATCTAAGTTAGACGGCTGGGATGATCTAAGTTAGGTGGCTGGGATAATCTAAGTTAGGTGGCTGGGATGATCTAAGTTAGGTGGCTGGGATGATCTAAGTTAGACGGCTGGGGTGATCTAAGTTAGGTGGCTGGGATGATCTAAGTTAGACGGCTGGGGTGATCTAAGTTAGGTGGCTAGGATGATCTAAGTTAGGTGGCTGGGATAATCTAAGTTAGGTGGCTGGGTTTCTAGTTTCTAGTCACCTAGTTTCCAACCACCTAAGTTAGTTAGGTAGCTGGAATGAGCTAAGTTAGGTGGGTGGGATGAGCTAAGTTAGAGGCAGCTGGGGAGAGTGCCACGGGGACCCCCAGAGTGCCACGGGGACCCCCAGAGTGCCACGGGGACCCCCAGAGTGCCACGGGGACCCCCAGAGTGCCACGGGGACCCCCAGAGTGCCACGGGGACCCCCAGAGTGCCACGGGGACCCCCAGAGTGCCACGGGGACCCCCAGAGTGCCACGGGGACCCCCAGAGTGCCACGGGGACCCCCAGAGTGCCACGGGGACCCCCAGCATCACACTGGTAAAGAAGAAGACAACCGCAAGTTTGGAGAGATATTTTTAGCAAGAGATTAGGACCAGTATTCATGAACCACTTATACACATCCACTTAAGTGACCTCTACAGTACAATTGGAACAAGTTACAATTAAGAGCAAATTACAGTGTTTAGAAGGTACAATTAAGAGCAAGTTTGGAGAGCGAGAGCAGCATAATATGGGAGAGAGGGAGCAGCGACCAGTCAGTCTGGCACCAAGGAGCAGGATATAAACATTAATTACTGTGGCAGTTACCACCCTGGGTGTGAACAACTAATTAGCAGTGTGTATTTACTATTTGTGTCTGCTGGATCGAGCTTGACCTGGACCCCTTGGACCCTCCTGGACCCTCCTGGACCCTCCTGGACCCCCTGGACCCCCTGGACCCCCTGGACCCCCTGGACCCCCTGGACCCTCCTGGACCCCCTGGACCCTCCTGGACCCCCTGGACCCTCCTGGACCCCCTGGACCCTCCTGGACCCCCTGGACCCTCCTGGACCCCCTGGTCCCTCCTGGTCCCCCTGGACCCTCCTGGACCCCCTGGACCCTCCTGGACCCCCTGGACCCTCCTGGACCCCCTGGACCCTCCTGGACCCCCTGGACCCTCCTGGACCCCATCTTTCTAACAAGTGTGTTCACCTAGTTGTGCTTGCGGGGGTTGAGCTCTGGCTCTTTCGGCCCGCCTCTCAACTGTCAATCAGTCATCTGTTACTAGCTACTATTTTTTCACCCCACACACACACACCCCAGGAAGCAGCCCGTGACAGCTGACTAACACCCAGGTACCTATTTTACTGCTAGGTAACAGGGGAGTTAGCTATAAGTCCCCCTTAGCTCAGGAATGATCCTTGTTGTATATTTCTGAACCTTTTCAAGTTTTGTTTTATGTTTATTTATGTAGGGGTTCCATGCGGGGGCAGCACACTCAAGAATGAGACTCACCAAGGGTGTATACAGCGCCGGGAAGTGATCTTTGACCAAGTTGCTGAAGGATAACGGGAAGTTTGCCAGTATGGCGTACGCTGCCCTCGTTATCTTGCTATCACTACATGCATGTAGTGATAGCAGGAGTGTAACCATGGTTACACTCTCCCTCCTAAGTCTCTCTCTTTTTCATAAGTTAGAAGTTCCCTTCCCTTCATCCTGTACTGTATTTGAGGTCCTTTCGCTCCAAGTTCTATTCTCATAACCTTGCATTTTTCAGGGTTCAAGTCTAATAGCCTTTTTTTAGACCATCTATTAAAGTAGAGAATAGTATTGGTTCTTGAATAGATTCTCGAGGACTCTTCTCGATACCCTGCATCAGTCCGGCTTCTTCTCTCACTGGGTCTCTGCTTGTTTCCTGTCTGTTAGGTATTCTCTCACCCAGTCCCAGTATATGAGGGTATGAGGGTACTATGAGGGTATATGAGGGTATGAGGGTACTATGAGGGTATATGAGGGTACTATGAGGGTACTATGAGGGTATATAAGGGTATGAGGGTACTATGAGGGTATATGAGGGTATGAGGGTACTATGAGGGTATATGAGGGTATGAGGGTACTATGAGGGTATATAAGGGTATGAGGGTATATGAGGGTATGAGGGTATATGAGGGTATATGAGGGTATGAGGGTACTATGAGGGTATATGAGGGTATGAGGGTACTATGAGGGTAAATGAGGATACTATGAGGGTATATGAGGATACTATGAGGGTATATGAGGGTACTATGGGGGTATATGAGGGTATGAGGGTACTATGAGGGTATTATGAGGGTATGAGGGGTACTATGAGGGTATTATGAGGGTACTATGAGGGTATGAGGGTATGAGGGTACTATGAGGGTATGAGGGTACTATGAGGGTATGAGGGTACTATGAGGGTATGAGGGTACTATGAGGGTATGAGGGTACTATGAGGGTATGAGGGTACTATGAGGGTATGAGGGTACTATGAGGGTATGAGGGTACTCTTCACAAGTGAAAAACTTGCGGGAGTAAATGAATACCATGTACGGAACTGTGTACACGTGTACGCAATACCATATACGGAACAGTGTACACGTGTACGCAATACCATATACGGAACTGTGTACACGTGTACGCAATACCATATACGGAACAGTGTACACGTGTACGCAATACCATATACGGAACTGTGTACACGTGTACGCAATACCATATACGGAACAGTGCACACGTGTACGCAATACCATATACGGAACAGTGTACACGTGTACGCAATACCATATACGGAACAGTGTACACGTGTACGCAATACCATATACGGAACAGTGTACACGTGTACGCAATACCATATACGGAACAGTGTACACGTGTACGCAATACCATATACGGAACAGTGTACACGTGTACGCAATACCATATACGGAACAGTGTACACGTGTACGCAATACCATATACGGAACAGTGTACACGTGTACGCAATACCATATACGGAACTGTGTACACGTGTACGCAATACCATATACGGAACAGTGTACACGTGTACGCAATACCATATACGGAACTGTGTACACGTGTACGCAATACCATATACGGAACAGTGTACACGTGTACGCAATACCATATACGGAACTGTGTACACGTGTACGCAATACCATATACGGAACAGTGTACACGTGTACGCAATACCATATACGGAACAGTGTACACGTGTACGCAATACCATATACGGAACAGTGTACACGTGTACGCAATACCATATACGGAACTGTGTACACGTGTACGCAATACCATATACGGAACAGTGTACACGTGTACGCAATACCATATACGGAACAGTGTACACGTGTACGCAATACCATATACGGAACTGTGTACACGTGTACGCAATACCATATACGGAACAGTGTACACGTGTACGCAATACCATATACGGAACTGTGTACACGTGTACGCAATACCATATACGGAACAGTGTACACGTGTACGCAATACCATATACGGAACTGTGTACACGTGTACGCAATACCATATACGGAACTGTGTACACGTGTACGCAATACCATATACGGAACTGTGTACACGTGTACGCAATACCATATACGGAACTGTGTACACGTGTACGCAATACCATATACGGAACTGTGTACACGTGTACGCAATACCATATACGGAACAGTGTACACGTGTACGCAATACCATATACGGAACAGTGTACACGTGTACGCAATACCATATACGGAACTGTGTACACGTGTACGCAATACCATATACGGAACAGTGTACACGTGTACGCAATACCATATACGGAACAGTGTACACGTGTACGCAATACCATATACGGAACAGTGTACACGTGTACGCAATACCATATACGGAACAGTGTACACGTGTACGCAATACCATATACGGAACTGTGTACACGTGTACGCAATACCATATACGGAACTGTGTACACGTGTACGCAATACCATATACGGAACTGTGTACACGTGTACGCAATACCATATACGGAACAGTGTACACGTGTACGCAATACCATATACGGAACTGTGTACACGTGTACGCAATACCATATACGGAACAGTGTACACGTGTACGCAATACCATATACGGAACAGTGTACACGTGTACGCAATACCATATACGGAACTGTGTACACGTGTACGCAATACCATATACGGAACAGTGTACACGTGTACGCAATACCATATACGGAACAGTGTACACGTGTACGCAATACCATATACGGAACAGTGTACACGTGTACGCAATACCATATACGGAACAGTGTACACGTGTACGCAATACCATATACGGAACTGTGTACACGTGTACGCAATACCATATACGGAACTGTGTACACGTGTACGCAATACCATATACGGAACTGTGTACACGTGTACGCAATACCATATACGGAACTGTGTACACGTGTACGCAATACCATATACGGAACTGTGTACACGTGTACGCAATACCATATACGGAACTGTGTACACGTGTACGCAATACCATATACGGAACTGTGTACACGTGTACGCAATACCATATACGGAACTGTGTACACGTGTACGCAGAGAAAACAAACATAAGGACTTCCAATGTTTCTAAAGACGCTTAAGTCCTTAATTGTCTTCCGTCAAGTGATGTTAATTAAGCACAATAAACTAGCCGCCGGAGCCGGGTAGTTTATTGTGCACCCTATACTCATCCTGTGAGCGGTAGCGCAAAAAGCATTACAGAGGGCACAAAAGGTCTTGAACTGGTGCCAGGTTCGGGTCTGTACAGTATGTCCGAGTGACTGGTTGGACAAGACTATTGCTCCTCTACCAAGGCGCCCCGGACGACTGCCTTCTCAAAGCGCCATTAAGACCTTTGTGCCCTCCTCTGTAATCCTTTTTGCGCTACCGCTCACAGCATGGGGGGATGCAAAATATATCAGTCTCTTCCTATAGGAGCAAAATTTTCTCTGAATAGGTGTCGCAGATGGAAGGAAGCGACGCGTCGTGTTGCGTGGCAGCACCAGCCAGTGAGAGGGGCTAAACTCCTCTTTGTACTCCTCTTCTCTCTTCCTTATCCCAGCCTCCAACACCATGACAGCTTTACGACGAAGGAAGCGTCGTTAACTGTATAAGTTTACGAGTGCAGAGCTCTGTTGACAAGGCCGTCGTTTTTATCCCCTCTCTCCCACTCTCTCCTTCCCCCCCCCTCCCTTCCTCTCCCTCTCTCCCTCCCACCTACTCTCCCTTCACTAATATACTTCCATCATCCTTATAAATCCCCACCACCACCCCTCCTGCCGCGCCCCAGCAAGTGACACATGGCAGCAAAAAGTAGCAAAAAGTAGCAGACGTAGAGTCACAGTTCCCTGCATGGACGCCACACAGACCAGATAATACAATTGGTGGCTACTTGGGAGTCTGTACTTACCTAGTGGTGCTCGCAGGGGGGTGGAGCTACGGCTCTTGAGACCCGCCTCTTACAACTTAGTAGACTCATGGTGTGTAGAACCTAATGGCCTCTGTCGTTACTACATTCATTAACGAGAAAATTAAAGTGAAACACAGCAAACGAAGTAGGTAGAAAAGAAAATGGAAAGTGAGAAGGGAATAAAGAAAATGGAATGAAGACGTGGATAAAGAAAGTGGAAAAAGAGATGGATAAAGAAATGCAAAAAGGAGAGAATAACGAAATGGAAAAGTAGAACAGGATGAAGAAAATAGAAAAGAAGAAGACGATACAGTAAATGGAGAAGGAGTGGAGGGTAAAGAAACTAAAGAGATAAATGAGAGGGAGATTCAGGAACAGAACGTGGAATGAATGAATTAAAAGAAAACATGCAGTATTTCTTCCTAGCTCCGCCTCAACACCACACACACACACACACACACACACACACACACACACAGATAGATAAAGACAGGCTATTTAACACAAGGGGCACACGCACTAGGGGACACAGGTGGAAACTGGGTGCCCAAATGAGCCACAGAGATATTAGAAAGAACTTTTTTAGTGTCAGAGTGGTTGACAAATGGAATGCATTAGCAAGTGATGTGGTGAATCTCTCTTGTCTCTGTGAAATTCCAGAGATAAGAGAGTGAATAGTTAACCAAGAACCACTGGAAGAGTTTGAGATTATCAGCGGGGAAGTAAGGAAGTGTTTACTAGAGTTGGACGTGACAAAGGCTACAGGCCCAGATGGAATCTCCCCTTGGATACTAAAGGAAGGAGCAGAAGAACTGTGCCTGCCACTCTCCATAGTGTATAACAAATCGCTGGCAACAGGGGAACTGCCAGAAATTTGGAAAGCAGCTAACGTAGTCCCGATATACAAGAAAGGGGATAAACAGGAGGCACTGAACTACAGGCCAGTGTCCCTAACCTGCACACCATGCAAGCTGATGGAGAATATTGTGCGAAGAAAGCTAGTGGAACATCTGGAGCGAAGGAACTTTGTAACACAGCATCAACATGGGCTCAGGGATGGCAAGTCCTGCCTCACAGGGTTACTTGAATTCTATGACCAGGCAACAAAAATCAGGCAAGAAAGAGAAGGGTGGGCAGACTGCATATTTTTGGATTGTCAGAAAGCCTTTGATACAGTACCACACAAGAGGCTAGTGAAAAAGCTGGAGATGCAGGCTGGAGTGAAAGGGAAGGTACTCCATTGGATAAAGGAGTACCTAAGCAACAGGAGACAACGAGTCAATGTGAGGGGTGAGGTCTCAGATTGGCGAAACGTTACAAGTGGAATACCGCAGGGGTCAGTCCATGGACCTATACTGTTTCTGATATATGTAAATGATCTCCCAGAGGATATAGACTCGTTTCTCTCAATGTTTGCTGATGATGCAAAAATTATGAGGAGGATTGAAACAGAGGATGATAGTAGGAGGCTACAAGATGACCTAGACAGACTGAATGAATGGTCCAATAAATGGCTGTTGAAGTTCAACCCGAGTAAATGCAAAGTAATGAAACTAGGCAGTGGAAACAGGAGGCCAGACACAGGATACAGAATAGGAGATGAAGTTCTTAATGAAACGGACAGAGAGAAAGATCTAGGAGTTGATATCACACCAAACCTGTCTCCTGAAGCCCACATAAAAAGTATTACGTCTGCGGCATATGCGAGGCTGGCTAACATCAGAACAGCGTTCAGGAACCTGTGTAAGGAATCATTCAGAATCTTGTATACCACATATGTAAGACCAATCCTGGAGTATGCGGCCCCAGCATGGAGCCAGTACCTTGTCAAGCACAAGACGAAGCTGGAAAAAGTTCAAAGATATGCCACTAGACTAGTCCCAGAACTAAGAGGCATGAGTTACGAGGAAAGGCTGCGGGAAATGCACCTTACGACACTGGAAGACAGAAGAGTAAGGGAAGACATGATCACAACCTACAAAATCCTCAGGGGAATCGACCGGGCAAACAAGGATAAACTATTCAACACTGGCGGTACGCGAACAAAGGGACACAGGTGGAAACTGAGTACCCACATGAGCCACAGGGACGTTAGAAGGAACTTTTTCAGTGTCAGAGTAGTTAACGGATGGAATGCATTAGGCAGTGATGTGGTGGAGGCTGACTCCATACACAGTTTTAAATGTAGGTATGATAGACCCAGTAGGCTCAGGAATCTGTACACCAGTTGATTGACAGTTGAGAGGCGGGACCAAAGAGCCAAAGCTCAACCCCCGTAAGCACAAATAGGTGAGGACACACGCGTACGCGCGCGCACACACACACACACACACACACACATTGAGGGCATTGAGATTGAGGGCGGTTACGGTGAGGAGTGAGACCTCATATTGGCGTGAAGTCACTAGTGGAGTCCCACAGGGCTTTGTAATCGGACCTATCCTGTTTCTGATATACGTAAATGATCTCCCGGAGGGTATAGACTCATTCCTCTCAATGTTTGCTGACGACGCCAAAATTGGGGTATGAGGAGCGCCTGAGGGAACTGTGCCTTACGACACTAGAAAGAAGAAGGGAGAGGGGGACATGATAGGAACGTATAAGATACTCAGAGGGATTGACAGAGTGGACATAGACGAAATGTTCACACGGAATAGTAACAGAACGAGGGGACATGGATGGAAGCTTGAAACTCAGATGAGTCATAGAGATGTTAGGAAGTTTTCTTTTAGCGTGACAGTAGTGGGAAAATGGAATGCACTTCAGGAACAGGTTGTGGAAGCAAATACTATTCATAATTTTAAAACCAGGTATGATAGGGAAATGGGACAGGAGTCATTGCTGTAAACAACCGATGCTCGAAAGGCGGGAGCCAAGAGTCAATGCTCGATCCTGCAGACACAACTAGGTGAGTACACACACACACACACACACACACACACACACACACACACACACACACACACACACACACACAGTAATAGTAATTCCACACACACACAGTAATTCCATAGTAAATGGAATGCATTAGGAAGTGATGTGGTGGAGGCTGACTCCATACACAGCTTCAAATGTAGATATGATAGAGCCCAGTAGGCTCAGGAATCTGTACACCAGTTGATTGACGGTTGAGAGGCGGGACCAAAGAGCCAGAGCTCAACCCCCGCAAGCACAATTAGGTGAGTACAATTAGGTGAGTACACACACACACACACACACACACACACACACACACACACACACACACACACACACACACACACACACACACACACACACACACACACACACACTTGTATGGTAAGGTAACGAAAATAAGGCAAGACAGAGAAGGATGGACAGATAAGCATATTTCTGGACTGTCAAAAAGCGTTTGATACAGTACCACACCGAAGAATACAATCTTGAGAAGCAGGCGGGAGTAGAAGGAAACGCACCATCATGGGTAAGGAATTACCTGACAGACAGGTGTCAGAGAGTGACAGTGAGGGGCGAGGAGTCGGACTGGCGTAGAGTAACAAGCGGGGTGCCTCAAGGATCGGTGCTGGGACCCATACTATTCCTCATTTATGTAAACGACTTGACTGCAGGAGTCGAGTCTTTTATGCCAATGTTTGCGGATGATGCAGAACTAATGAGGAGGATTGAGACAGATGGGGATTGCAAGACTCTCCAGGATGACTTGAACATGTTGCAGAGATGGTTCGAGAAATAGCTGCTACAGTTCAACACTAACAAGTGCAAGGTGATGGAAATGGGGACAGGAGCCAGGAGGCCGAAAGGCCGATATACTATAAAGGAAAACCACCTCCCTTTAACAACTAGAGGAAAAAGCCCTGAGAGTGAACATAATACCGAACCTAACTCCAGAAGCTCATATAAATATAATATCGTCAGCCGCATACTCTAGTCTGACAAAAGACAGAACATCCTTCAGAAACCTGAATAAGGAGTCTTTTAGATCACTGTACACTGCCAACGTGAGGCCAGTCTTTAGAGTATGCCGCCCCATCCTGGAGCCTCCATCTTAAAAAAAAAACTTTAGGAAGCTCGAAAAGGTGCAGAAACTTGCAACGAGACTCAACCCGGAGCTGCGAGGGATGAGGTACGAAGACAAACTTGAAGAATTAAACCTGACAACGGTAGAAAGGAGGGAGAGAGA